CTATCTCACATCACAACACGTCACGTCATACGATATATCATTTTTTGTTTCAAGACTTAGCCAACATGGAATATGTAATTTATTTTTCTGTATTTAGGATACTTTTCTGTACATAATACAATGGACTTCAGCGCAAAGAAGCACACACTGGAATTTGTACAGTACAGATACTTTGACTCCAGTTGTGAACATGTCCAATAAAGGCTTCTGACTAACTGCATGAGAAAAGACTGTAAGAAATATTACATAATACTAGGAGCACTGCTCCTGTTTGCTGCGCTCGCCAATACTGCAAGCGAGCTACCACCGTTCCCTTCTGTCTTTATGATTCTTTGATAACAATTAGGGAAATGACTGCAATTATAAACAGTTCCATCCTTATTCTTCAGCTTTAAATGCTAACACACCACAATGTTCACACACTTCACACAAGTACACCTATTAATGCCATCTGTCTCACTGGACACATTCCTCTCCAGCATAGCTAGTAACTTGTCCATGTTGTTAATGACATTCTATGTGAGCTTCAATACATTAGCCACATCCACACCTGTTCTGATATTCATTCAAATTTGTTACATGCCGTAATTCTAACAAAGTCTCACAAGTTTCGCTGTTCTTGTCACCTTTCTTCTACCATATTCAAAATAATGCACTCGCTCCTGCCATCATTCCACACAGGATAATCATATCTTTATAATATTACTGGCAGTCACCTACTGACAGAATTACGCACAACTATTGTTGGTACAACGTTAGTACAATGCCTGCTGCTTAGGAATGATTTAATACCAACAGACCTGACTGATTTTTAATCATATCAGCCCCATTCATCTTCAACTTCATTACCAAATGATGTTGGATGACTATCACTGATGAATCACAGAACTCAAAACAATTCAAGCATAACAACAACTGTAAATAAACCAATTAAAATTTTAAACTTAAATTTCTTGCATATTTAGAATCTTTAAAGGCTAGCATTAAACTCTACAGATATTTTAATTCAGTAACAAACTATAATTTGGAGGATACTTGGGAACAAGTATTTGTACATAGTTTTAGACAGCTTAATGCCTTTACACCTGGAATCCCTAAGGAAATATAATTTAAAATCCCCACAAAGATGATAGGCTGCAAAAGGAATGAAAACCTATTCTCCTAAGCAACAATAATGCAAGTTTTATTATATAATGTTAGTAGAACACCCAGACAGTGACTGGAAATCTATTTGTGACAGTGCAATATTTAATTGGTCAAAAGCAGTTTTCCTCAAAATTCTTCTTCTTTAAAATTAGGGTGTGTGTAATACATGAAGCACATATTTAAAAGGAGGAAAGAAATTGCTCTGTTTTATGCGCAAATTAGAATATTGTTCATCGTCACGGGTCCTACAGCCTATTACAGGCCTTGACCGCCCCAACGATGCGCTTCCATTGGTCCCTATTTATGGCTTTCCTTTTCCATCCCTGGACTCCCGAGAGCTTGGAGATCTTGTTCTACACTATCAAGCCACCTGATGAGGGGTTTCCCTCTCTTTCTTGTTCCTTGTATATTGGTAAATGTTACTTTCTTGCTTGGCTGAGCTTCACTGGCTCTATACAGGTGTCCCAGCCACCTTAGTCTTCCTGTCTTTATTACTTTAATTAAATCAGGCTCATTATATAAATGGTATAATTCATCATTATAGTATCTGATTTGCCAGTTTCCCTCTTCATTCTTTGGACCATATATTTTCCTTTTGAATACTCTTAATTTGTTCTCATGTCCCTTCGTCAGGGCTCAGCTTTCACTCCCATAGAGCAACACAGGTCGTAGAAGTGTCTTGTGTAGTGTGCATTTTGTCTTAAGGGTGAGGTGAATCTTAATTGTTTTTTTAGTCCATGGTAACATTTGTTAGCTAGCAGTAGTCTATGGTTAATTTCTAGAGTTAGATCATTGATTGAATTAATTAAAGTGCCCAGATATTTAAATTTGTTTATTTTTCCAAACTTGTAATTATTTACTTTCAAGTATTGCATATTGGTTGGTCTCTGTGATATTTCCATGTATTTTGGCTTACTTTCATTAATAGCAAGGCCCATTTCATTGGCTGCATTTTCCAGCTTCACAAATGCTTCTTCAGCAGCTCTGACTGTTCTACCAATGATGTCTAGATCATCTGCATAAGCCAGTATTTGTACAGACTTCTGATATATTGTTCCTCTTTTTTCTATTCCAGAGTTTCTTATTGCTTTTTCCAGTGCTAGATTAACCTTTAAATAGCATACCTGCTAGGGCATCACCCTGTCTCAAGCCCCTGAGGGGATTGGTCATTCCTATGTTGTTTTATTTATTATTTATTTACAAAGAGAAATTTGGTTACATTCCATCCTAACTCTAAAAAGCATACTTTCTTTCCAGTGCTAGATTAAATAGCATACCTGTTAGGGCATCACCCTGTCTCAAGCCCTTATTTGTGACAAATGGTTCTGATAAGTTGTTTTGCAATTTAACCCTGCATCTTACTCTATGCATTGTGGCTTTAGTGAGATTTATTAACTTCCCAGGTATTTCAAATTCCTCCATGGCCTCATATAATTTTTCTCTCTTAATACTATCATATGTGGCTTTAAAATCAACAAAGATGTGATATGTGCTTATATTGTACTCCTTGGGTTCCTTTAATATCTGTCTCAGGGCATGTATTTTATATATTGTTGATTTTTCACTTCTAAATACACACTGGTAGTTCCCTATTACATTTTCTGCAAATGGTTTTAGTCTGTAAAATAAAATATTGGATAAAACTTTATAGGCAGTGTTGAGCAATGATATCCCTCTATAATTCTGACATTCCAGCATATCTCCCTTCTTATGTATAGGGCATATTAAGCTCTCCTCCCATTCACATTGTATTTTTTCTTCTTTCCAAGTTCTCACCATAACTTTATGCAATTTATCTAGTAGCTCTGGATCATCAACTTTCAGAAGTTCTCCACGTATGTTGTCTGGTCCTGGTGATCTGTTGTTATTCAGTTTCTTAATGGCCAACTTCACCTCCTCTTTCGATGACAATCGTTTTCCACCTTCTTCATCTTCCTCCATAAAGTCCATTCACTGTGCCTCTGGGTCCTTCTCTGACCGATCTTCTATGTCTTGCCCTTCCAGTAACTCTTTAAAATGCTCCCTCCACCTCTAAAGTATTTCTTGTTTATCATTTGTTATTTCACCAGTTGCTTTCCTACATGCCATATGTTTGGTCTAAACTCCTTCCTCATGTCATTGACAAACTTGTAAAACCTGCTAGTCTCATTTTGAGAGTTCAAATTTTCAATTTCTTTAAAATTTTCTTCCAAATAGAATTTCTTTTTCTGTCTATGCATTTTCTCTCTCTCCTGTCTTCTCCTCTCTTTATATAGCTCCTCTGAGCCTCTGGAATAATGTTTATGAATCATATTCCTGTATGCTTCATGTTTCTTGTTTGTTGCTTCTGCGCATTCCTCATCAAACCACTCATTCCTCCTTGTTCTTCCTTCTCTTCCAATAATCTCATTTGCTGTTTCTATGATGACTTGTTTAATTTCTTTCCAATTTCCATCTTTTTGTTCCCTTCCATGTTGTGTATTCTGGACCTTCTCTGTAATTTTATTGCATATATTTCTGAAATTACTGGATTTTGTATTTTGGCTAGTCATAATTTTTATTTGAGGCCGTGACTCTCTTATTCCATTTGGTGCTTATCCGAATTTTTATTCTTGCTATTGTTAGAAAGTGATCTGAGTCTATGTTTGCCCCTCTGAAACTTCTAATATCTAAAAGGTTGCTTCTATGCCTGGAATCTACTAAAATATGGTCAGTTGGTGCATGTGTGCAGATAAGGCTATAATTATGAAATCTGCCTCGCATTCTTATTTTATATAGTCTCATATCAATGGGTTGGAAGTCTACAACTATATGTCTTACTTTTTTATGGACTATGAATCCAGCATCAAATTGGTATAAATTTTTATGGCAACTATAGTATACCGTACATCCTTTCTTTCCCAGGATGTTCTGTCCGACCCATCTCATCTCTTGGATGGCAAGAATGTCAATTTTATAATTATTTGTTATTTCAATTAATTGTTTCAGGGCCCCACTTTTATATAATGAAAGCACATTACACAATATGCAATTTGATTTACAATGAATACCAACTCTGCCTGCCTAATCTTCAGATATCTCATACATCATATTTTTTCTTTCTTTCACTATGTTTTATTTATTTTGAAGCACATTGTGCACAAATACTTGATTTTTTTAATTTTCCAATTAAAAAATAAAAGTGCATGTTTTACATGCACAAGTAAATATGGTATGCAATAACAAATATTCTTACATAATGCTAAACTTCATTACGGACTATCTTCGGCCACAATAACTTAGTGACTCCTTGTGTCGCTGCTTGTTATTTGACTTATTAAATCTGTCTTTACTAGCACAGTCTTCTTAGGAATGGAACTGGCTTGATTTTCTGTTTCTATTCTCTTCTTTTTTAATAGTGAGGTACATTCGATATATTTACATACATACAGCGTGATATAAATTCTATGTTTTTCCTTCATAAAGAATGCAAATATGAAGGAGATAACAACATTATCACCCACTTAATGCCTATGAGAAGGTGTTGGGAGGAGACAGTACCAGCCTGTTATTTTACCTCTGAACTGGAAAGAGGGGTAGTAGTAACAGTCAAAGAACTCATATCAAGATATATTTCTTGTAAGGAAAGGAAATATGAATTAACTGAGAAAATCAAAACATAAACAATTAAGGTAATAACATACCTTTTAAAAAAGACACATCTGTGTGATTGTGTATGACATGGAACAGAAATAAAACTTTCTAATTATCTTTAGAGAAACACAGGCTGTTTCTGCCTACATCCAAAGTTTTTGCCTTTACAACTGCCTATTAAGTGGGACTAGCCTTCTTGCGCCCCCTCCCTCGACCCTTGTTGGGCTGGGTGGCGGCCCTACCTGAGCGTCCACAATCCGAGCATGACACCAGTTCCTCAGATTGCCCCGTCTTCTTATTTTCTTGGGAATCACCAAGACAGAAATCACAGTATGGTGAAGGGGCTGCCCGTTCCTTTTCCTCACTGCCAGGCATAGGGAGCAAGACCTGCAACATTCACCATATCATCATTCAACTCAAAAACTTGAAAGACAGTTGTGGTGACAGTGGTGGGAGTCCACAACGCCTCCAACAAGCAATTCATACAGCAGTTAATGCAGACTGGTAAATTAGAGTTTATAATACTGAAGTCTGTAACTAAATCAGAGGTGGGACACTGGCAGCAGTTGTTTAAAATGACTAAAAGAGTGGATCCATCCTTCTCTTTGTCTATGAAACACATTTCATCCAAATTTGTAGTCAATTATTAAAATTATAATTTTATATAGCTTTAAAACCTGATATTTCATTCTAGGAAAAAATAATACCAAATGGTGTTTGGGAACAAAGTGATGAGGAGAATGTTTGGTCCTATGAAGCAAGGAAGTAACATGGAGGAGTTTCAAAATCTGTACTTTTCACCAATACCGTCACAGTGATCAAATCAAGGAGACTGAAATGTGTATGACACAGAGGAAATGCATACAAAAGTTTTATTTGAAAGCATGAAGAGAATAAAGCACCTGGAAGGCCTATTCAAAGAAGGTAGCCTAATACAGAAATGGATTTTACAGGAATAGGGTGTGAAAGGGCCGAACTTTTATATGATAGAGGATGTGGTCCAATGATGCTTTAGTGAACACGGTAATGAATTTTCAGGTTCCATAAAAGCAGGCAATTCCTTTTCCAGCCAAATATCTACTATTTTTAGACCCTCCACCATGGATTTTATTAGTAATAAAAATTATTAATTAGTGGCTCCAGTTTCCATTTAACACACTGCAACAATACTGTATCATCTAATATAGTACTAAATTATTATCAGTCTGCAAAAGCTACAGCTTTTATTCTGCATGTGAAATAATTTGCTTTCACAAGAAGATTAACACAGGCTTAGATCCTATAAACTTAACTATGAACTATAACAAACAAGGAGTTTCAGGTGCTGATGGGGGCAGGG